AAAAAATCGGAACTTTTTGCAGAGGGATGACATTTACACAATGACAGTTGTCTCTGTTTACATATAACAAATGATGGAAATAAATCAAAAATATGATATCAAAATTATCAATTTATTGTTCTTTAATGGAACCAAATTACCCTCAGTCATGTACACTTTGGACATCATTCCACAGTCCGCTTACTCACGGTATATTTATAATTACATGTCAGGTACATATGTGACCAGAGGCTATCGCATGGTATGCCGTTCTCACGTGCACTCAGGTCTCTGTTGTTTTTTTTTGCTTACTTCCAATTAACATTACAAACACGATTTTACGTACATATATTTATGTATATATGTCAATAACCGTTAATGTAATTTACATCACATACCAATTAGACGCAAGGGATAATTCATGAGATTGTGTGGGTTTTGCTTTGTTTCAACCATTGAGTAATTGAATTTCCTAGATTTGTAACTAGGCCTCGGTCTCGGGTTAATAGACAAATGCGAGACGATTGGTTTGTTCGTAAAACATAGTTAACGAAAATTTGAAATTTGAACAAAAAGAAATATATTTAATGATACTGACAATTTGCCGGTTAACATTTTTGTAAAATAAATGCTTTCCTAAATCATTTCTGAAAACAAAACAGACCTTGTAGAGTTTTTATCAAAATAAATAATGAATAAAATAAATAAAAAATATTTAATTAAAACAACAGTTGATATTTCCAATCATTATACTATCGCTGTGAATAGTGAATAAAAAAGATGAAGCATTTTCTTAGAAATAAATTAAACACATTAGCAGTGTGCCAGTCTTCCGGTATCACACCTGTTGCTAGGAATTTCAGAAATAGTAGATGGAGCAGTGGGGCAATGCTTGCGTGTGTTTCCCTCAACACTTGTGGCGAGATGTTATCTAGTTCGGGAGCTTTGTATGGCTTGATGTTCCGGAGCAGCTTGTCAATCCCATGGATGGTGATCTCAGTGTCATAGATGCAGGGGAAGTTTGGTATGTTGCTCGTCCAGATTTCTTCCTTAGTGAAGATGGTCTTTTCAGAGAAGGCGGACTGGACTGTTGGTTGAGAAGGTTGGCCTTATCTACTGAATGGGAGTACAGATTGCCATCGTTCTTCAGTGATGATATACCAAACGTGTCCTTCCGCTTGTGTTTGATAAAGGTTCAGAACTTCTTAAGCCCACCGGGGAAGCTATCTTCTACGTTGGGGTGACAATGTTCTCTATATAGCTCCAGTATGACCGTCTCTGTGTCCTCTAGATCTCTCTTCAGCATTTTGTAGGATTGCACTAGGGTGGGATCTTTTGCCATTTTCAAGGAAGAGTACATCCTTAAAGCATGCATTAGTGCAACGTAGGTTAAATTTTCCCGCCTGTCATTACTTAACTTCCATGTGTTGCATTAGCATAAGATGGACCGACTAACAAAACCAGCATGTGAAGTTGTCAGTGTGCAAATAATGTCAAAATGTTGTTCTACTCTCCAAAAAAGCTTTTAGCATTATTTTCCACATTATTTTTGCCATTTGAATGATCCGTCTTTTGAAGTGAACTGCTAAGATTCTCAAAAATGTATAATTTGCTGAAGACCCAAAATACCAAGGGTGGTAGAGCAATGGAGGCAGTTATCGACAGTCTAAGCTTCAAACGTGTTTTTCCAGTTTACCGTTTTGCGTAAGTTATTATATGATGGCATTTCAAAGAAGTCGGGAAACGTACTCTATTCTATCATCTGCAATAACCGAGAGATTCCGAAAAGGTAAGTGTACCTATCAAAAACACTGATTGTCTAAAAAAAACGGTTCGTAATCGACCCAAAACGAGATGAATAGAACTGGGGGTCGATAATCCCCCCTGTCGATAATACCCTCCGTTGCTCTACTTGACTTAATTATTTACTGATAGACTTAAAATAAAAATATACTAACCCCTGGTACATTTCTATTTCTGTCAATGTCCTGGCGTGAACAAATCTTTTGTGAGAGCTACTATAATTTTCCATTTGTCTTTCAGACGCTGTTTTGACATAAAGTGTATGCATACTGTAACGTTTACCAGAGACTTTTCCTTTATCCTCGCCGTGTGGTCCTTGGCGGTATTTTCGGAGAAGTTGGTTGATAGGCAATAAAAATGGCGGCGGAGTTGAAGCAGATCATGTGGTTAGCTTAATTTGATGTCCATAGGCTGCCTTTGTCACACTCGTCTTAGCTAGGCTAATAAGTATGTAAAGCATCATTCTGGTTTTGTAACATGTGCAATTAACTGTAATTTTAAAAAAAGGCATTGTGTTCTCGGCTACAGTACTGGGTCGCACACATTGGCATGGCCTACTGCTCGTCACAGGCTGTGTCGAAGCCGTTTTGTGGCTAAGGTGATCAGGTTTTTAGCTAAATAATTACAGTTGTATTGACATACGTATGTTAACTATTGTTTTGATTTATGTCATCTTACATATAACTTGATTATATTAACGTCGGACGTTATAGCTCAATATGTTTTTTGGGCAAATTACAGGTTGGGCACAACTGCGCATACTTCAGTATGGGTAATAATCCTGCATTTAGGTAACAGTTACCCATTTGAGTAACAATTTTATTACTGAAATGGGGAAGAAAGTGAAATAAAAACACACAAAGTTCTTTTAAATAATAGGAGCAAAAAAGGGCGTCATTTTGTCAACTAAATCAAATAAATAACAGAATGAAGTAGGCCTACATTTGTTCACAAAAAATTATCAATTCTGATGTCTAACTTTTTGTGAAAAGAACAAACCATATCACTGACTTTGTTCTCCATCAACTTCAGTGTGCAGTCAATGGGACTATCCAGTGTAAATATGACTGGTGAGCATGATTTGTGTGTGTGTGTGCTATTTATAGCCACAACATACTATAAGCAATGGAGGTGATACAATTTGTCACTTTCACAAAAATTTAGACAACTGAAGTTACGTATTTTTGTACACAATTGTACTTCATTGTATTTTTTATTTGATTATGTTGAAAGATTGATGCCCTATTTTGTTAAAAATGTGTAAAAGAACTTTGTGTGTTTTTATTTCACTTGTCAACATCATACCATTAGTCTACGAAGACTACTATTGACACATCTACTGGTGTAACTGGTACACACTCCCGGTCTGTACCTCATCTACTGGTTTAACTGGTACACACTCCCGGTCTGTACCTCATCGACTGGTGTAACTGGTACACACTCCCGGTCTGAACCTCATCTACTGGTGTAACTGGTACACACTCCCGGTATGTACCTCATCTACTGGTGTAACTGGTACACCCTCCCGGTCTGTACCTCATCTACTGGTGTAACTGGTGCACACTCCCGGTCTGTACCTCATCTACTGGTTTAACTGGTACACACTCCCAGTCTGTACCTCATCTACTGGTGTAACTGGTACACACTCCCGGTCTGTACCTCCCGAAAAGGCCAGGTTATATATAGTCTGCCATGAGTTCACAAGAAATAATGAATCAGTTGATGGCCATGATACGACTTACGACTTGGTTTGATTCTACAGTATTGCTAACTTTAACCATAACCTATATTATATGCTAAAAGTTTTGTATTTTATTTATATATATTTTTTTTTAATTGATTTTTAGGAGTTGTTTTGGTCAAATATAAAGCCATGTCAGGTGTTGGAAATGGTGATAGTAAAAATGCAGAAGGGGAGAGTAAAAATGTACTGACAGATGAGGATGAAGACTTTCTGCTCTCCCTGGACCAGTGGGATGTGGTGGACGAAGCTTCAGGATCAGAGGGAGGAGATACAGGTGACCAAATAACTGAGGAGCAAATTAATAGACAGGTAGAACAAAGTCAAGAACTTCAAGATGCTAAATTATCTCCTTCTGCTGAAAAAGAAACTGATGTCCAAGCTGAATCTGATCAAGATGGCTGCAGTGGTGTTATTACAGAAAAATCCAAGGAGGACAAAGAACAAGATGAGTCTAGAAGTGAAAAAGATGCAGATCAAGTTGTTTTGATGGAGGATAAAGTGGATGATGCTGAGGATAACTTGGGGACTAAAGAAGGTGCCGCATCTACAGAATCGGGCGAAAAAAGCTTGGGGAATTCGAAGAATAACAATAATGATGGCAATATGGCAGTTGCTGTGACTGAAAGTTCAAAAGGTGAAAATATGGAACTTAAATGTCCGTTCACAAACTGGTAGAAAATATTAAATAGTCATTGTAGTAGTGAGCTATATACTCCTTACAATATTTACTTACATTGTTGTAATAACATGAGCTTCACTCCCCTATATGTATTTGTTAAATCCTATTAAATGTATTGACTTACCAGTGCAGTAATAAGTTTCCTATATGTTTTTACTTTGCAGTGTGATGTTAATATACATATTATGTGTTTTCAGAACCGAGTGAATCATCAGTTTTGGTATCCAACTTCAGTCTGTGGCCCGATTTTACTGTAACCATACAGAATGATGGTAAAGAAGCTGGCGATCACGAATTTCTTACAACAGAAGAAGGGGTAGAGTCCACAAACACACTAGGTCAAGTACTGGAAAATGAGGGACTTCAGTCCACTGAAACACTCGCTGTAGCATCATCAGACGAAGTGCTGGAGTCCACAAACACAAAGGCTGTAGTTGACAAAAATGTAGAAACTCAGAATGTGATGGCTATTTCTACTGATATTGATTTCCAGGATAAAGAAAGTCCATTTTATAAGGAAAAGATTGAGGCAAGTTCAACAGCAGGAAATGTATATGAAAATGAACTACTTATAATAAGTGACCTCAATGATCCAGAACATAAGTGCGAGTCAAATTATGACGACAATTCAGAAAAAGAAAATATCAACGATAATCAGATGTCTGAGGTAATGAACAATGCTCTTTCTGGTAACAAAGATAGTGAAAGGCAAATTTCAGATAGAACTGAGAGGACATATGAAGAAACAGGTCAGTGCGAAGATGATATGGAAGTTGAAAATGAGACAAAAGAAGAACAAATGGAAGTGGAAATTGAGGATACGAAAATGAGCTCTGTAGATGGAACTGAGAATTTAAAATGGGATAAAACAAAAACTAGTGAGAAAAATAAATCTAAGGTTGATAATAAAGTTGGTGATGAAGAGCATCAAGCAAAAGGTGAGGAAGAATACAACATGGAAGAAACTAAAAATTCACCTAATGGAAAGGATGATGATGACATTGATAGGGAGGAAGAAGATCAGAAGAATGCCGGAAATGAAGATGAAAAAGAAGGAGGAGCAATAAAAGTAATAGAGGATGAAGAGAAGATGGAAGAAACTGAGGATGCTGGTAAAGAGGAGGTTGAGGAAATAGAGGATGGAGATGAAGAGCTTGAAGGTGAAGAGGAGGAAGAACAATTGCAGGAAGATGATGTTGATGAGGCAGTTAAAGATAAGAAGGAAGAGGAGGGTGATATGAGTATAGATGAAAACAATCAAACTAAGTCCAACAAGACTGAGGATGTGGAAGCTGTAGAGAAAGCTGTGGTTGCTGATAAGGTTGGGGTAGAACAAACCAAGGGTAAACTTACAAAAAGTGTACGAAAGGAATCAGTTAAACCTCCTAGGAAACCTACTATCAGTACAGAGGTGAAAGCTGGAGTAAAGACTGCTGTTAGGGCTGAGGTCAAGGCTGAGGCATCTCGTGAAATAACCACTTCGCATGTTTTAGGTAATATTGGACTTAACATTTATTGTTTTTCACCACTTTTTTCACTAAGATTAGGGATGTTCAGTGTCATCAATACATACTCCCTTCATTGATCCCTGGACAGTTAAAAAAAAGTGTGGGCTCTATTCAATACTAAATGTCAAAATAATATAAAGTTACATACATAACTATTCAACACCAGTTGATTAATGGCTTTCTGGATGATGTGCCTTTAAATATAATGGTATTCCATAAAATGTTTTTAGGAAATATGAGTCTATTTGACCAAACAATGTAAAATGTTACTTAATAGCAAATGCTTGATGCTTTAGTCAATGAAATTAATCAGATTGCATATCAAATAGGTTGAATTTAGGATATAGTAAATGGATTTTGATGTCTTATATGAAAAAAAGTTTATGTAGTTAAATGCTCAGTTAAGTTCTTTAATGTTATCAGGAGGTACAGGGGTAGTTAATAAAAGATGATATTCATGCTTTGCCAACTAAATATATAACCTTACTCTGGGAATAGATTTTAAATCTATATGAATGTATTTTGCTTGTATACTCATTGGTAGTACACATTACTGTATGCAGCTAACTTGTAAGGGGAGACTTAATGTATTGAACATCTATTGAACCAAAGTGGTGGACTGAAGGATTACTATCTATTACATTTTTACCTGTGAAATATTGAAAATTATTAATTCTGCGCACTCATGAAAGATATAAAATATTAGCCACACTCGTGAAATATGTTTGGTATTACTGAAAACACTGTTAGATATCCTCTATTTATATTGATTACAGCTGCTACATTTTTGTCATGTTTACATTACGATATTAACAAATATTGAGCAATGAATCAATAATCCATGACACTATGTATACAGTGTAGCTGAAGTGTCCACTGATTAATGCCTAACCGGTTTTGTGTCTCAGATTTGAAGATGACCAGTGTCACCGTGGATGATCTTGGATCAAGAGATATGATTCTGATCCTCAAGAATGCCTTACACTTCAGTGTAGATTTCCCAGGACAGCCTGGTAGTGTCAAAGGAATAGGGTGAGTCGCATTGGGCAACCATTAGGTATATTGTGAAATGGACACAAATTACCTCCCTTTATGGTGTTGAACTAGATACTGGTAATGGTTTAAAGAAGGTTGTTATAATATTTTTTAAGATCAAGAAAATAATCAGAATATCATTAATGCTATTATTTTAAATAGATTTGAACCTCGTTAATCTAGTCACTTTGATATCCATCTTATCTTACAATGGATAATAATTTAGTCATGAATGATAATTTAGCCATGGATAATAATTTGTAACCCGCTTTGAGACGACCTACGAACTAGGTTGTGATAAAGCGGTATATAAGAACCTCCAATTATTATTATTAAGTGGTTGAAATGTAAAGTAATCTTTTGTATGTTTCTTGCTATATCTCAATATTCCTCACTCATTTGAAAATGAAGGTTGTATTCAGCAAAATCTTCATGTTTATACACGGTTACCTTTGCACAATTTTATCTGTCGTGCAGGTATTCTAAATTTTGGAAATGTTCATCCCTTTAATCTTTGTTCAATCATCCTTGAATAAGAGGGAAATTTTTAAACAATTTGAAAAATGTATATTGTTAGAAGTGCCATTAGATATATGGCGGCCTATTCAAAGCTGGGAAAATGTCACTGTTTACCTTTGAAGTCATGATAGTTTTATAAAAAAAATGGTAATTGTCTTGATATGCACAAGTATCTTCAGACATTATGCATTTATGCATACAAAAATAGATATCAGGCATTTTCCTTGACTCTGAACATGCTCTGCCTCATTCAGGTTTCTCTCATAAGTGAAATGCTAAAATTTCATACAGGTGTATAATTGTTCCTGTTGAGTGCTTTTTTAGGTCACCAATCGCTTTTCGTCCGTCGTCGTCCGTCGTGCGT